TATGCCGTCGAGAAACAAACTTTCGGACAATTTGGACTTTTGCGGTTCTAGTCGTGAACATTCGATTTTCATGCATACCTTGAAAGCGTCTCGTGCTACGTTTCTGATTGAAAAATAAAGCGATGTGAATCCATGTTTAGATAATGTTAATTTTTTTACGGTCGTAGAACACATTATTGGAATATCATGGATCGTACTATTCGACCTGTTCTTTCTCATTCGCTCTTCTTTACCTTCTTTAAACTTTGAGCTTTCAAATCCTTCTTGTAATCGAAAGCAGTCGTAGAAACCATTTTCAGACGTCCATATACGTGATTCGTCAAACTCAAAAGACGTGGTCGAACTGGTAGGCGATATGTCGCATCAATTAGGTAAAAAAATCTCGGCAGATTTTAAATTTTTAGTAAAAAAAAGGACGATAGCCCCTGCGCATAAGCCCAAAGAATCATTCTGGACCCAATAATCGGCAAAATTCAGAGAAATGAAAGCAGAATAGTGTTTGGAAAAAAACCTCGCATTCGATACAGAAATCGACAGCTGAATCGAATGCGAGGTTTTTTCCAAACACTATTCTGCGCTCATTTCTCTGAATTTTGCCAAATTTCGAGTCCATAATGATCCATAAGGCTTACACGCAGGGGTTATCGTCCTTATTTTTACTAAAAATTCAAAAGCTCCCGAGATTTTTGACCTAATTGATGCGATATACCGCATACCAGCTCGACCGCGTCACTTGAGAATCACCTCGAATTTTTTTCGAAATGCTACCACTCGCCGCACAGTGGATCGAGTCAATCAGAGAGGTCGGACATAAAATTTTTACCAAAAATTGCAAATTTTGACGTTTATTTCGCCACATTTAAGACTTTAAGGGGTGTTGCTGGAAGCAAATTTCACTAGAAAACCAATGAAACCACTGTTAGAATCTTAAAGTTTTGTATAAACGGAGTCATAAGCGTTTTTTCCAAATTTTGTCCGACGTCTCCTATTGACCCGATCCACTGTGCGCCGTAGATATAGACCTTAAGAAATCACCCCTTCTAATCTTCCCAGGACTGAAGAGCACCGCAACGTTGAAGAAGACTTCGCGCTGTGAACTTGGAAACCCGCTGTGATAGAATCCTGGGTTTCGAGCGAGGGCGGCTAAAAGTGTGAGTGCGCGACTCGTTCAGGAGGAGCCGTAAATCGGCGACGTGCTCTTGGTGTTTTCCCCCGGAGGAGTAGCATACTATGCTCTTCATTGCGGATTCCGAGCGGGGATCCCAACTCCTGCGTATCACAATAAAATAAAACTAACTGCAACGGGCTCGTGTCGCGGTAAAAGCCAGAGCAAGCAGGACATAACTCGAGCGCGTGATCCGAATGTGGAGCCTATTCGCATGATGAGCATCAGGCCCGAGTAGCCGCTGATATTCGGTGCAGTTCGGCGTTGTTCGATGAGCCATGGGCGACCGCAGAAGGGAGCGTCGCAGCAGCGAGAGCAGCCTTCAGCTCTTCGAGAGGACCCGGAGTCGGCGCATGAGCCGGAGGTTTTTGAAAAACGTCATGCAGGTACGCTCAAGCCTTTTTTAAGGGGGATTTTGAAACTTGGCAGCAAAAATAGAAGAATTGTCGCATGCCGTTCAAACATGAACGACGCAAATTCTACTCAGATTTCTCAGTTTGTCCTGTAAAAATGCCCTACCTTATGAGGATGTGTCCAAAGTTCACGAGAATGAGATAATGAATGACGAACGGGAGAGATACGTACGTTTCTACCCGTGCGTTTAAGTCTCCAAGGTTGTGTGCCCTCCACCAGTGGCGTGGCGTAAATGATCGGTTAAGGACATTTCCCATTTGCAGCAATGGTAAAGAATCGAATATTAAGGTGTTCGTTGCGAGCACCCTGTTTATCGATCTTTTTTATGGGTTTAAATAACAGATCAATCGATATATCGCAAAGCACCCCACGCCACTGCCTCCTACTCGGTTGAGCGCCGAGATGTTTAGAGTTCAGCATGCACAAAAAAAGCTAATGAGGTACCCATTGAAATCCAAAAATATTGACCTGGAAAACAGATGCTAATTTGTGTTTTCTCGAGAATTTTTATCATTGATTCAAAGTTTTTGATAGTGATGCAAAAAATGTTACCATGAAGAGCTCATCCGACAAGGATGGATATTAACTGAAGCAGAATCCCTTATGTTTTACAAATCTGCGCGCTACGAGTTCGTGATAATTGTACGGTGTACGCCGTGCCGCACCGAGGCACTGATAACATTTACATTTTCTACGTTTCACTGAACAGAACTCCAAAATGTTTTCACCATCGCATTGATTGGAAGAGATTGCGGGCCGCTGGAGTTGAATATTCACTAAGGAAACCAACGAATATTAACCATTAATTTCATATTTTAAAAATTACTCTTTCACACCACCAGGAGCTCAAAATGGAAAAAAAAATTAAGCATAATGGAGATCTGATTTTCTTGGAATGCAGCACTATATGCAAAATTTGGAATGGAGTTATAGTGTTTCAGTCGTAAACTGTAAGCTGATCATAAAATTTGATAGACAAAAGCTATAGACAAAGACGACAAAGGAAATAGAGACAACAAGGAAAGGGAGACGACAGGGGAGCGATCGTATTGGTTGGAGTGGATGGTTCCTATAGACTAAGGGAGAAAATAATGGACCACCATAGGGTCTCTCGTGATTGGTCTATAGTCAGTCTATTGCCTACCTCTTTTGTCTAATGCAACCATGCGCGTCCACCAATAGGATCCCTCCTTTCCTCTTTTGTCTTCTTCGAATATAGCTTTGTCTATCAATTCCAATTATCAGCCCCTATAGTATAAATTCAACTCCAGCAGCCCGCAATCTCGTCCAATCAATGCGATGGTGAAAACATTTTGGAATTCTGTTGAGGGAAGCATAGAAAACACAAATGTTATCAGTGCCTCGGTGCGGCACGGCGTACACCGTACAATTATCACGAACTCGTAGCGCGCAGATTTGTAAAACATAAGGGACTCTGCTTCGGTTAATATCCATCCTTGTCGGATGAGCTCTTAATGGTAACATTTTTCACGTTACTATCAAAAACTTTGAAGCACTGAAAAAGAATTCTAGAGAAAACACAAATTGGCATCTGTTTTCAAGGTCAATATTTTTGGATTTCAATGGGTACCTCATTAGCTTTTTTTTGTGGATGCTGAACTCCAAGCATCTCGGCGCTCAACCATGCAGGAGGCAGTGGCGTGGCGTGCTTTGCGATTTATCGATTGATCTGTCATCTCAACCCGTAAAAAAGATCGATAAACAGGGTGTTCGCAACGAACACCTTAATATTCGACCATAGTTGCAAATGGGGAATGTCCATAACCGATCGTTTACGCCACGCCGGGTAGGAGGGTACACAACCTTGGAGACTTAAACGCACGGGTAGAAACGTACGTGTCTCTCCCGTTTGCCATTTATTATCTTATTCTCGTGAACTTTTGACACATCCTCATTCTCCGCTACGATCATTTGAGAACCTGGATAAGCACATCAATCATTCCGGCAGAAAGTGAACGTGCCTTTTTTTGTCTCATGTAAAGTAGATATGCAGTTTTGGGTCTAGAGTTGGCGGAAAAGGTATTTGCTTCGACACGCATTACAATTGACAATATTAAATCAAGCATCATTATTAAGTAAAAAATGCCTCATTTTAATGTACATTAGTTACTATACCGAAGTTCTTACTATTTACAAATGTATCTTACGAAACCGGTCGCGAACATGGTACTATGGCAGTAACACAACCGGTCACCTGGTTACCGGCCTCAACGCGTCCGGCACGCCGCGCCGCGCAACCGGCCTCTGATTTGCATGCTCATATTTGCCAAGTTTGGCGGGTAAATCGGAAAAGGCTCCCTTGAAGCATTTGCTTGACCTCCCAGTAATTCGCCCAATCTCACAATCATGTCTTACGATGTAATTAAATATCTTATCGGCCTGTTCATCATCAGATCAGCCCACTTTTACCGACTTATATTGTACAGTATAACGAATACGTACTCCTCGTTACTTGACATTCTTCCTCTACACTACGATCTGTCAGAATCTGGAATAGTTACGATCTAAAGCGACTGCGCCTGTCCATTCCAGGAGGCTATTTACCGTCTCTTCTCGTCGCTCCTCTGACGTAAGAGAGTCTCTCACGTGAGCCCTGCCGGCCGATTATTGAAATTTATAGACAAAGCTACATACAAAGAAGACAAAAGGGATGTGGAGAGATCCTATTGGTGGACGCGCATGGTTGCATTAGACAAAAGAGGTAAGTTATAGACTAACTAACGACCACCCACGAGAGATCCTATAGTTGGTCCATTATTTTGTCCCTTAGTTTATAGGAACCACTCATTTCAACCAATATGATCGTTCCATATTTCCTTTGTCGTCTTTGTCTATAGCTTTGTCCGTCAAATTTTATAATCAGCTTACAGTTCACAATTGAAGCACTGTAACTCCATTCCAAATTTTGCATATTATTGTGCTGTGTTCCAAGAAAATCTGATCACCATTATGCTTAATGTTTTTTTTTTTTTTTTTTTTTTTTTTTTTTTTTTTTTTTCATTTTGAGCTCCTGGTGGTGTGAAAGAGTAATTTTGAAAATTTTGACTGTCCATTCAAGGAAGTTGTTTAGCGTCTCTTTTCTTGGCGCCTCTGACGTGAGGGCCTATCTCACTTTCCACGTGAGCCCTGCGGGCCGATTATCGAAATTGATAGACAAAGTTGTAGACAAAAAATACAAAAGGGATATGGAGGGATCCTATTGGTGGAAGCGGATGGTTGCAATGGATAAAGGAGGTATGTCTTCTTTGTCTATAGCTTTGTCCATCAATTTGAATTCTTTACGTCAGAGGTGTGACGTTTTGAACTAAGTTGAATTGTTTGCCCTTATTTTATCGACATCGTTTGTGGCGCAGTAGGTCAAAATGTGCCTTAAATAAAACAAAACAAATAATTATTTTAAAAAAAAAACTATTATGCTGCAAAATAAGAATAATTTAAATTTTGAAGAAAAGTTACATCTTGACCTGAGACCTGAGACCTGAGACCTGAGACTTGAGACCTCTGGCAAATAATGTCATCAGCAGAGGTACAAGTTCAAATGAAAACTCAAGAAAGTAAACTAAACTACAATGGTGCAAAATAGGCTATTTATAAAATAATGAAAACTGTAAATTAACACGCTATTAAAATTCTAAAACCAAATATATCAAAAGTTAAAATATAACGAGAGGAGCAACAGAAGAATGAAGCGATAACAATAATGTAGAGAAAAATGAGCATGATATGTAAGTCGGAAGAGGGAAGTGACGACCACATCACAGAGTCGAATGCTTCATTCTGGATTATTTGACGCAAAAAGGACCCACAAGTACCAAAACTAGTAGCATTTGGTAGTGATAAATATAAAGTTTGAGGACAAAAACAGGGATTCGGAAACAAATCGTGCTCTTAATTTTGCCGGGGCGTTCGCGGTTGCCCGTTGTGGGATCGATGATCTTCAAACGCCTACAACATCATTCATAACGCAAAAGATGGCTTGAAATTTTGACCCAGTTTTTAATATTAATTATATTCTGTATCTTCGTGCACTGTATTTTTGAACATTTGGGCAAAGATCACCTAAAAGATTGTTCAAACAAAGTAACGTCTACATTCCTTTTTCATCAAAATCAGACAAACTTAAAATATAAATTCATTTTTACATTATTAGGTAGTATATCTCCTCGTTTTATCAGTTAACCATGGAACTAATAATAAATACATCAGTATTACATAAAAAACAATAAATTTTAAGGCCTCTGACTCTAATGTTCTATTACGTTTATCTACCGCTGCCAGAAGGGTTACCCCAAGAAGTGTCTGCAAGTCGTCACTAAAAGTGTATAACTAATGGTGTTTCTTACGTTTTTTAAACCCAAGAAACCTTAATATGCGTGAGAACAGGCGCTTTGCACTGCGTCGAAAACTGAAAGGCCGCAAGTGTTTTGTCTGCCGCAAAACCCCGGCACAGACCCTTCGGCCATCTTCATAGCTTCGTGATTTTTCTCTTCCTCCGTCAATTTCTTGGCCAATGGCAAGTTGGTGTACCACAATGCCCCGTAAGCCAGCTGATAGTACGGCTCCTTAGATTTTAAAGTGGACATGTCTTGGCAGACAACATGACCGTTGACTTTAACTTTTCTTCCCTTAAAGACGACCTCTTGACTGTGGCTCTTGCTAGCCCATCTGCAATGAACAGGCCCAATGCTAAAACTTTTAAAAAGGCCAGAATATTTGGAGATGAACCAATCAGGATTGCTTGGTAAGCCGTTGATGTAGAGTCCTCCATTACCATGGCCTATATTTACCCCTGTGTTGTTTATTGTCGGGATGTCTCCTAGTAGAGTTCTGAACAAACTTCGTTTCTCAAGTTGCGATTTGCTCTCCTCGACCTTATCTGAGAGGTGCACGTATGCGCTTGGGTTTGCATCTTGTGTTTCCGTATCTCCTAACATGACTGCGCTTCGATCCAGCTTCACAATGACAGTAGACATTTCTTTTGCGACCGATTGATCTTTCATTTCAATTGCCCAACAGCTGTTTGCCTGAAAATGTTAGTCGCAAAATATGAGGTACCTGCTCCTATACTCAAATATGGAATGTAAATATATTGAGATACAATGTTTCATTAAAGATCGTTTGCGATCATGGTGACGTGAGGGAAGCACTGGGCTAAACCGTCATTCAATGGTTAGAATTTTTTAAAACACTATCGTCTGATCGACTAATTTCGGTATCGAATAATTATAACGCAGATTGAGACGAACACACAAAAATTGAACGAATTAAAGGTAGGGGGTTTTCAGAGGAAAAATATCGCATTCGAGTGCAGTTTCGATGTCAGTATCGAATGGGATATTTTTCCTCCGAACAGACCATGCCTTAGTTACGTTGAATTTCTTTGCCAAAATTGGTACATGAATTCTGTAGCCTCATGACAACAAGAGTGCGATCACGAAATTCGAAAAAAAATGACAAGCAGCTGAAATTATGGAACGAATTGATGCGATATATCGCACGTCGCTCTGACACGAAAATTGGCAACCGTAGAATCACCTTAAGGCGTGATTCGACTCGAGTGGACTTAAGTCTTTCGTTAAGCAAGAAGTGTGAATTTTTCAATCACAACAACACTAATTATTACTTGATTTGGGAATCCTTCGATGTTTTCACCGTGCTCTGAGTAACACACTCTCTACAAATATTTAAAACACTCTACCTTACGATTTTGGCACTGGTTCTGTATTTCTATCTGAGTATGTATTATCAATAATGCATGCTCGTATAAATCATATATCTCCACATCAAAAATAGCTAAGGGGATATTTGTATGTTCGTCTCAATCTGCGTTATAATTATTCGATACCTTTTTCTTTGAAGCAAGAAGTTTGAAATTTCTGACTCTGGCGTAAACTTTAACGCTGTATTTACTCTTGTACGGTTTTGATATTTTTCAACGTTTTTTACGTGTTCTGCATGATGGTCACGCCGCACTATGGTCCACAGACTGGATTTAACGGAACTTTATTCGAAAATGCACTGCACCGTTATAAAAGGTGTTGGATCTTATGTTTTTTGGGTCGCTGATTTCATTTTACATCTTAGTTTAACAAAATAGAAACATCCTGACCGAGAAACTTAACTTCAAATGTGATTTCTGGCGCTTTTAAGACTGAAGATTTTTTCCACCCTATTTTGACATGTATAAAAATAATAACAAAAGTGTCTCTCGGTCGAGATCAGATAATTCTCATGTATTTTTGGGCGGTAAATTCGAATATGACCTCCGTCTTGGTCCATCGCCCTTAAATTTTCCGGAAAAGCCGATTTTACCCGGGAAAATGGACATTTTTGGTGTTTTTGCGACCGTTGACCTCTGCAACATGTAGGTAAAATTTTTTCCAGGTACTAAATAGTACTATTTCGATGTATTTTGATCTACTGTGTCCGAAAATGACCTTTGTTGTTTCTTATCACCTCTCACTTTTCCGAAAAAGCGACTTTTTCCCGGGAAAATGAGCAAATTTGACGTATTTTTGTCATAATTGCAATTCATGTTGATAAATTATACTGGACCCGTGGTAAAGCGATTCTGTCATGTATACTAAGCTGCTGAATCCGAATATGACATAGGTTTTGGTTTATCACCCTCCAGTTCTCCGATAATGCCGATTTTTCCGCGCCTTTTGGGTGAAACCTTTCCCGGACTCTTTGTTAAAAATACGGTTTAAAATTGATTTCGATGTTTGATATATCGATTCTTATGTATGTTGACTTGCTAAATCCGAATATGACCTTAGATTTTTCCTATCACCCCTTATTATCCCGGAAAATTCAATTTTCCTCGGAGAACGAGCTTTTTCGGTATTTTTGCGCCAATTTTCCTATTCTATGGAGTTGTAGCGATTTTCCAAGTTCCTCTTTAGGTCTTCTCTGACGTCTTACAAAACATTCAACCGGAGTTCGACCTCAACTTGCCTCTTACAACCCCCCGTTTTCCTCAGAATACGGAAAATCGTCGCAAAAATACCAAAAAAGCTCGTTCTCCGAGGAAAATTGAATTTTCCGGGATAATGAGGGGTGATAGGAAAAATCTAAGGTCATATTCGGATTTAGCAAGTCAAAATACATAAGAATCGATATATCAAACATCGAAATCAATTTTAAACCGTATTTTTAACACAAGAGTCCGGGAAAGGTTTTACCCAAAAGGCGCGGAAAAATCGGCATTATCGGAGAACTGGAGGGTGATAAACCAAAACCTATGTCATATTCGGATTCAGCAGCTTAATATACATGACAGAATCGCTTTATCACGGGTCCAGTATAATTTATCAACATCATGAATTGCAATTATGACAAAAATACGTCAAAATTGCTCATTTTTCCGGGAAAAAGTCGCTTTTTCGGAAAAATGAGAGGTGATAAGAAAAAACAAAGGTCATTTTCGGACTCAGTAGATCAAAACACATCGGAATACTTTTATTTTATACCTAGAAAAAATTTAACAATCGCAAAAACGCCAAAAATGCATGGAATATTCCACATTTTGATGTACGGAGGTGCACTCCGAAAAAAATTGATTTCGACCGTTAGGCGCAAAAAGGCGCAATTTAAATTGGCATAATTTTAAACTTAAGGATATGTTGGACAAGATTTTTCAATCCGCAAAGCATTAACTAGAATTAAAAAAAAGTTAGAGCTTCCTAAAAATTACGAATTTTACTGATTTCTAGCATTTTTTGGCGTATGTTCGGAGCGTTCAAAAGCATACAAATTTCAGTTCAAAATTAATGAAACGGGGTGAAAAGGAAGTCACTTGCCATCAGGTGGATCCATGTTGCCCAAAANTTGGAAGTCTGAAAATTTTGCGGACATCGGGACGTCAAGGGCTTTAACCAGAGTCAAGCATCATCGAAATCGGTCCGGTAGAACTCCAGAAATAAGCGTTACAGTGAAACCCCCAACGATTTTATTTATATAGATTATTAGTCGATGAAAACTTAGGTGACGATCCATGAGAGTATGTATTATAAAACTGTAGTGCCAAACTTTAATTTTTTCCACCCTCAAAATTTGACTAAAGTTCCGTTAAATAGGGTCTGTGGACCATAGTGCGCCGGTTTCTAATTCTTACTCTGTTCAGCGATTCATTGCCAGTATACATCGAGGCTTTTGAGATTAAGAACGATAAAATCAATCTTACCTCAAAAAGGATGTAAAAATACACCACATATCCGATACGTTCTGAGGGCGACATTATGGTTTCAGAGAGTTAAACACGAAATGAGAGACTGAAAGCTCGTTTAAGGAAAAGCTAGCTTTTATACGGTGACTCCGATTTTCATGCGTAATGATCCCCTTAATACTTCAGTAAGTGCGTGATACGAGTTTTTTTGTTTCTATTTAATGGGAAACATGTTCTTTTTTATTTCGTCAACGAAATTAAACTGTCACGCTCCTGACGGAGTATGATTGAATCGATGAGATCACACGGATCATGTAAAGCAAAGAAAATGCGCTTTTTTATAGACTGAATCATAAAATCTTTTCCGACTGAATCTCACACCAGTCACACAACATGAGTTTTCTCTAAAATAATGAAAGGATGCTTAGCTCCGTTGAGGGAAACCTAGGATTCAAAAATGAGCTATAAAGAATAAAAAATTAGTTTTTCCGTCGATCAACTGGCAAATTTTCAAACTGTTCCGTCGAAGAAAGAACATCATGTTTTTTCCTCGAATTTTTTTACCCTTTCTCCGCTTGTCAAATACTTGTCAGGGAGAATGTTGAGCACAATCACCCATCTTGGGGGGGGGGGGGGGATGAATAACATTTATCAAAGTTTGTACGAAGTTGTAGGAAGGAAAGGGCCTCAAGAAAAGGTTGAACTAGGTATAATTATCGCATGTTTTCTCTTCTATATCTTGCGTAGAAAACGATTCATACAACAGGAAGTTCGGAAATTCACACTTGAACGAGTCATTAACAGTCATTTTTTACACGAACCAAATGGAAGTTAACTTCTGCAATTATAATATTTTGGTTTTTTGCCACCTAACCAATGTTACTTGTTTACTTCTATAGGGATCTTGTTTGGGGATTGCTTCTGTAAGCTTCTCGTTCCAAGATTCGCTAACCTAATGAAATTTTGAAGAAAGATCATGTTACAAAGTATGTTTTATTTTATACTTTGTCTAAAAGTTCATTGTTGAGCACATCGGAGCTTTTAAGGCAAGCGTGGAAGTTGTGTGTGGCAAATGGAGAGTTGGATAAATGATGTGGCTGTATCTAGGTATCTTTTCCTTGGATTAATCTTCCGATCTTCCTCAAAGATTGTTTGTGAGCGACCGGTGGCGAGGCGTGAGAGATCGATCTTCAATATTCCCCCATTTGAAGCTATGGTAAAGAATCTATTATTAAGAGGTTCGTTGCGCACATCCTGTCTATCGATCCTTTTCTATAGGTTTAAATGGCAGATAAATCGATGTATCGCAAAGTACGCCACACCACTGTGAACGACCTTGACCCTGCCCGCGCGAATGCGGCTCATTTTGCATAGAAAGCACGTGTATGTATACTCGCGATTCTCATCGTTTCGGCCGGTGAATTTTAACAACATCCGAATTCTTCAAGCGTTTTCACTTTTGGAAGGACGAATAAAAGTTGCCGTTTGTTACTTGATCTTAGTTTACAGATGATGAGAGGGGAATCCGTCATCTTTGCCACAATGTGCTTAAAATATCTTATCTTGAATTATTCTATGAGCAATAGTGCTATGACCTGAATGCGGATGTGCCTTACGCACTTTAATGGAGAATAATTTATCGCACTAAAAATATGGGAACTATTTTCAAAAACCCTTTTCGTTCGAAAGATAAATTTCTTTGGAGGGGGGGGGGGGCTCAACTCTCAGCACCCCACTCTCGTCTTGTTGTCATGGAAAATTCAAAGGTTGCTATAAAAGTAAAGTTTCTATTTCCGTCTACTACATTTAACTGATCATAATTTTCAATCTCCATGAATCCAGAATTAGAAATCAATTTATGTTCATTCTATTGATTGATATTATTTTTCATTCAATGATAGTTAGATACTCTTTTTTATATAACAATTGTAGGTATTATTCTGAATAATATAGTAATCTCAACTATTAACATAATTATAATCTTCATATTCTAAAAACATAGCTTAGTTATTTTTAATTTCACATATTAAGGTTTTTAGAAACTAGTTTCGCCTTCTATTCTGGCAGAAAGTGCAGTAAAAATTGAGACTTATAATGCAAATTTAAAACTCTTCTGTAAAAGTAAGTACGTGTGAGGCAATGAAAGGTTTATCAAAATAGTGCCAGATTTTCTATCGACAAACAACATTTTTTTTATGATTTTTCATTTCTATTTAATTCACTGATTTTATTATTTGTCATCCACGTTATAGTTTGCTTATGATTTAAATCTTTAACCGATCGATGTGTCCTAGATTACCATGTCTTTGAGCCGGTTTGAACTACAACCTCAGTATCCTCTTCGTTTTTTTGTGCGTTACTACTTATGTTCAGTGCATTTTGGAACACCCGAAAATTTTGCCTAACTCCATTTTTGAATCATCATCGCGCTACTCTGTGTCAGACCTCACCTCCCCCCCCCCCCCCCCCNATCATCTTGCGACGAAGCGTGGGTGCAGAATCGAGGGCCCACTGAAAGATGAAATGTAAGCAATTACTGCGTATCCCCCCCCCTCCATCACGGCGATCCTCACGTCTGCGTTTAATTGGAATTTTGCGCGGGCGGCCTAACCTTAACCGCGATTGCATCACCGCGAAATTTGAAAAATCGACCGCTCCATCACCGAATGAATGCGCCGCCGAATTGAACAACCATGTCATCGCATAAATGTCATTATGTCACCACGTCTCGCCCGTCTCACGCGTCAAAGGCAATGTAACTAAAGCCGACGTTGCCAGATCGATACATCCTCAATTGTGCCATAAACTAATACTGCCGTGCTGAAGAAAAACGCCGCACGAACATTCGAGAGTTGCCAAATTTCCTCCGATAAAATGTTTATTTTTGAGGAATGTTGTGAATACTTTTCCTTGGAATTTTCAAAAACTTTAGATAAAACCAGGGGGCTATGCCCCCTCGCCGCTACGCCAGAAATATACTCATAACTCTACTTATGTTTTGACATTTTATTCGAGGAAATTTGGCAACTCTTGTGCGTTCATACGGTGTTCTTCCTTACCACGGCAGTTTAGGCTGTTGACTTCGTGCAATTTGAGGAATCAACTCCGTGCCCGTTTTCGATTGCGTAAAACGCACTCGTTCGTGTTTCAATCACTGCTAAAAATCAATTTGAAGGTTTTAGAGGGCAGGTAGAATTCAGTTTAGTTAAATGAGATTCCAGAAAAAAATGTCATTTATCAAGTAAACGAAATTACGCGACATTCGGAGTGGAAAAAAAAAATGTGACGCAAGTGTATAGGCTCACTTACAATGCTTGCTTTGATCGAAAGTAATGCGCAGAGTTCTGTTTAAAACGTTTTTTTAAAGCGAGGCAACGGATACACGTAAATGAGTAAAACTTCATAATGATAAAACCACGCAAGTCATCCAGTTACCCCCAAAAATCACCGTGAGCATGTTAAAAAAACTCTGAAACCCATCCCTAAGCACACAGTTTGCGTAGTATTTACCTCGAGTTTTCCGCAGGCACTGAGATGAGTCACAAGCATTGCTGACTGCACAAGGACAACAATCATGGCATGGATGAGAAGGATTTTTCATAAATGATCAATCCTCTGACGTAAGAGCGTATCTCGACTTTTGCATGATCCCTGTTCACCGTATAGCTCCATCTTTTCTGTGGCTTACGTGGAAATTGAGAAGCGCCCATACGTGAGAGGAGCGACGAAATGATCGCACGGTACCGCACATAATACTATCACGTTGCTTGACGTACTCGTATTGCTCATCTTCCAACACCGTCCAGTACATACGCACATTGTATATGTCCCTTCATAGCACTCCCTGGCACTCTGCGACGCGTAACCTCCTCAGTCCCCTGTCGAACCTGCGCCTTCTCCCAGTGTCGTCAAGCACGTACAAAAAATTCGGAAAGTGTAATGGCCCTCTTGTCTGTCGTTGAAAGTAGAAATTTGCAAGAAGAGAGGAGAAAATATCAATTGGATCGATAATGTAGCATTGTGTTCATGATATCGGACTTCATGCGCACCTACAGGGCCGGATTAAGGGGGTGGCCACATGGGCCGCGGCCCATGGCGGCAAATCTATAGGAGGTGGCAAATTTTGCAATTTTTTTAAATGTAGGTTTAAAAAAAATTCGGATTTAGAAAACAAATGTAACAAACGAGAAAAGGCGACAAAATCTCTAATTTTCTGAGAGTATAGTAATTTTTACTTTTGTCGTCTTTCAGTCTTTCGGTGATACAAGAGGGTTGCACCTTTAATTAGTCGAGTTAAGAGAGAAACCAAACACGTAATTTGGCCAGGAACTTACCTAGAGAGAAATGATACCGAGGACTTGAGATGAAAAGGAGAAGCCCTCGGCGCGGCGCGGCGATCGGCATGTAACACATATTAGCGCCTACAAGACTGCACGAATACTTCACGCATTGCGTCAAACACAGTGCGGTCTGCGAGGCGCGGCGGCGGAAGTTAAAATCATTAATCCACATTTATGTTTGTTCTTTCATAATTTTTTCGTTCATTTCTTATGAATGGAAGGCCTTGTCCACACAGAGATAGGTTTACGAGACTTAACTTTCGCGCAAAGTTCCGCGAACTTTTGCTAGTAGTGTTGACAGGGCTTTCCCAAAAAATGCGTTCAACACCAGTAAACGCGTCTTATGCACCCCTCCCCGCTGGCACGTTTATTTAATGGTTTTCATTGGTGTTTCAAAACGAATGAGAAGGGGGCGGCAAAATACTAGCGGCCCATGGGCGGCAAGTAGGTAAATCCGGCCCTGCTCACCTACATATAGAATGTTTGGCTATGCTCATCACGTCCAAGATCTTGGACTCCATGCTCACTTTTTCATATTTGTTTCGAAAAATCAAAGTGAGCATAACGTCCAAAATTAATTGTAGGGTGCCGATATTCTTTGACATTAGACAATCGTAGGGTCCAAAAATTTATCAAGAAAATTTTTGTGAAATAAAGACGAAAATAATATGTTCTTGCAGAAAATTGTTCATTGATCAGGTTACGTTAGGCTAGGTTAG